CTGAGGACGACAGTGGCGGCCTCGGCGCCAAGTGACCCTCCCAAGGTCGGATTTTCTCCAGCAGCCTGGGCACGCGCCGCGACCACCTGGCTGGCCCACCCGGGGAGCGGGGCGTGGTGTCCGGAGCCCCGGTCGCCACCTGAACTTCTGGCGTGTCTGTGTGTAAATTCGCACTTCCCACCACTAACCTTTCTTTTTGTGGATTTGTGGGGATTGCACATTTACATCCACGTCCGGGGGCATTTCATACGCCAGCCACCTAATAAGCAACCTGGAGTCCAGCCCATTTTGAGGACGCGCTGCGGGCGCACTTGCCTGCCCTCGGGGCTAGCGCACACGGGGTAGTGCGCACAGGGGTGGTGGCCTCGGGGATAGTGTGCACGGGGGTGCCCTCGGGTGTGGTGCCCTGGGGGGTAGTGGCAGGGGGGTAGTGCCCATGGAGTAGTGCGCACAGGGGTGGTGCCCACGGGGCAGTGCCCACGGGGGTAATGCGGGTTTTGTTGTTCAATGGGGGTAGGTGGTGTTAGAGATCCGACCGTAACGGTAGAGACCCCCCGGAGCCAAGCCTCTTGCCGAATCGCATTTCTTTGCCCAGCAACAGGTTCACCGAGGGCTCCTCTCCTTCCGAAGCCCCCGCCCCGGGCCGCGCTAGCGCTGCCCCAGTCCCCCGCCTCTCTCCCCCTCGGACTCTGCCTCCCTTTGCCTGGGCCGGGTCCAGTTTCTGCAGCCCTCCCCTCATGGGTCCTCCGCGCCCTGAGGCCCGACTCCCGAGCTGGGGCCGAAGGTCTGTGCGGGGAGGCGGGACCGCGGGGTCCGGGCGCGCGCGCAGGCGGGAGAGCCCCCGACGGCTGCCTGCCCGAGGGGACCCGGGCCCCAACCCCACAAACCCGTCATGGGCGCGGTGGTGCCGGGGAGATGCAAAGACAGCGGGCCCGGCAGGGGCGAGGACGCCCAGAATCACCCCGCTGTCCAGACTGGACTCGGCGAGGGCACCCTCCGGACCTCTCCTGGGGCTCCTCCGTCGGGACCAGCTCCTCCCCCCGAGGCCACAGCTCGGGGCTCCAGAGGGTTCCCACCCGCTCCCGGGAGCCGGGCGTCGGGGCTGTGCGGGGGCTGGCGGGGACGGTGTCGTG